TATATTATGTAAACAAAAACTTTATTTTGGATGCGATTAATCATTTGACAGCACTAGTTAAAATAGTCTATATTGAAATATTAAAATAGTCATCTATTAAAACTTTTAACTGTCATCTCTAAATTGTAATGTTATTTCAAAATATTAACTGTTAAAATAGTATAAAACGTGTGCAGTATCATATAAAAATATAGTATAAAATGTTAAAATAGTATTGAAATATTAAGTCATCTATTAAAGATTTTAACTGTCAATTCTAATTTATAATATTAATTCACAATATTACTGTTTTACTGAATTTTTGATCCATTAAATACAGCAGTAAACAATATTACCAGTCCCAAACTTTTGAATGGTGGCCAGAGGAATGTATAATTCATATCTGTAGTACATTCATATATGTTTGCATATATGTGTATGTAGACATACCTTCAACCATATTTATTTTGATGCCTCTGCTTCTAAAGATCATACCAATTGTTTGTTCCTTCGTCCCCTTCTTTGTGTCTCTTTCCCTCTCCCGGTGTCCTCCATTTCTTGTTTTATCATTTTGTTTCTCCATGCGTCACTGTTGTTCGTCACTGCTGATTTATTTTAAGAGGGCATTGTAATTTCAGTCTTAAATGCTGATTATTTTTCTAAGGCATCTGTGATGCAGCTGTATGAGTGTAAATTGCTCGTTGCAACTCTCATGACTGATGCTGAGGGTCATAATACTCTATTCCCGGCTGTCTTGCGAGACTTATGTGATCTTACGCGAGAGGCTGAAAGGTTTTCACCTCAGTTATGCTCTTGACGTGAACCAGTCATTAATCGTTGCTTACAAATTGCTACGTTTTTTTTTTGCGTCATTCAAGGTCCATAATACTTGAGGATTAAGAAAGGTTTGAATCATGTTTAAATTTAGACTTCTGCTTTTCCTGCATTGATCAGATCTACTATAGCTGAATAGAACAGCTCCATCTTTTCTAAGGTTTTACTTAAGGTTTGGGAAGGTTGGTTACAGGAATGCATATGAGTTAAATACAAATTAAGCATCTATAACATGCTGTTAATTACCACTGAAAAACATCAGCTGGTTTGCACAAGATGAAAGGACAAATGCAATATTTGATGAATGCATTGTGATAAACAAGATTAGGGCATAAAATCAGTTTAAGTTGATTTTACGTAGATTTAAATCTAGAAGATGGCATTCAATATGCAGCTCTACTGTTCTTCTTTAATAAGGTGTCACTGCTTAATCCTTCAACTGCTTAAAGTGCAAAAACAAATCTTTTACTTAAGTGACATTCTCTGAGTATTATCTGCCATTAATGGCAATCAAATGGAAATCTAAAAGGGTACACTTAATTAACAATTTGATGTGCAAATATAAAAGATAAACAGAGTAGAAAATTGAGTTTTAACTCTACTTTTTTTCTGGTTATTTTTTCCCCCACGTTATTAACTTTTCTCAAAACATTAACAAATGAATTAGTGAGGCTCTTGTTTGGTTGAAGGGCTAATTCTAAAAAAAAAATGAAAATGTACTCTTCCTCAGTTTCCTGTAGAACATCAATGTCCTGAGAATGTCTTTATTCCATTTTTTTTTTATACAAAGGACTTTTGTTATATCAACAAACAGTTGAAATGTTCTTCATAATATGTTTTGTCTTCTGAAAGTCATACAGGTTTGAAAGACATGAGTAAATTGAAAAAAAATTTTTTTTAGTTGAAATCCCTTTAACTGGTTCATTTTGGACATCTGTGCCAAGCAGTGGCTGGCTTCCTGTTAAGCAGTCTTTGCTGAGGGTGTGATTGGTTGCTCTCTGATTTAGGAGCTCCTATGAGGTCTCAGGACCCTTAGGCCTGACGGTGGCGAGAGCTCTTCACTCTCTCTCTGCTTCAGTCCATGGGCCATTTGTCACCTGAAGATAATGAGATTGACTAATGAGAAAAAGAGAGAGAGAGAAGCAGGAATGAAAATGCGAGTGGTGCGTATAGGTACGAGACAAAGAAATCTATGTATGTGAGAAAGGTGTGTGTGTAAGATTAAAGTTCAGGAGCTGAGGTGTGTTGAACGACAAGCCACTTTTAAATAATACATCATGCACGCATGCTCTTTCAAACAATTTAATTGTCATTACTCGCCCTCATTCTGTTTCAAACGTTTATGACTTTCTTCAGTGGGACACAAAAGAGGAAATGTTGCGGAAATATATATATATTTTTTAAATAGGGACTGGAATTATCCAGTTCCAAAAAGCACCATAAAAATGTCATGTATTTCATATGTCTTTTGAAGCCATGCTACGGTCAATAAATTGGGGAAGATATTGAAAAGGAAAAATATTTCCTTAAGTTCTGAAAAACTTTTATAATGTTTTGAACAAAATTTCTTGCGTTACATTATTTTTGCACTATTTTTTAAAATGTTTGAAATATTTCTCAAGATGGTGTTTTTTGTGTCATAAAATGAATATCAATGAAATATTCATTCATAAATAGTAACTTTGGTCACTATTTTAAGGTCCAATTCTTGCCATTAACTAAACATTAACTACGAATTTTGCCTCGGTAAACTCATAATTTGCTGCTTATTAATAGCTAGTAAGGTAGTTAAGTTTAGGTATTGAGTAGGACTGGGGATGTAGAATATGGCCATGCAGCATGTGTCTAATAAGTACTAATAAACAGCCAATATGTTAATAATATGATTGCTAATAAGCAACTAGTTAATAGTGAGAATTCGTCCCAATACTAAGTGTTAACGTAACTTTTTGGGTTTGAAGTGAATGCTATTTGAAAACTATGGTGGAGGAGCAGATTATTTGACTCTTAGATACAGACTTAGAACTATTTTATGGTGCATTTTTGGAGATCAACAGCCTCAGTCCCCATTTTGAAAACAGACCCTCTGAAAGACAATCATAAGGTTTAGAACAATGACAGAATTTAAATTAAGTGTAATACTAGTTTAGTGTATCAAAACATGATTATTTTGTTTATAATACCTGACTTGGTCTTGTTCTGTCTTGTTAGCCCTGGCAGAATGAAACCATTCTTGCATTCATTGCATGCAGCCAAACCGTAATTTTTTAAGAGCCAGTAACAGGCAAACATTGGCATGTCAGCCAGGCGCAGAAATCCTCATTTCTCCTCACATGGTTCAGTAACCAGCCTGCCGTGTCTTTGCAGAACACACTTGATTTGCCCAATACAATGACCGAGACTTTTTATCTTGACAATCGACATAGAGCTTTTTGTCGTGTTGTGATTTTGCTATTCAGCAGCATTACAGCTGTCTAGTGGACATAATGAGATGAATTCCTTCCTTGATTCTGAGTGTTTTATCATTGACATATGGAGCTTTCATGCTACAGCTTCAATTAGTACCTTAACCCTATCACATGGGTTAAATATCATATGGATTTTAGCATGCTCGTATTCGAAACAAAAGCACAGATTACTGTATTTGTGTGTAACACGCTTGCTGACATTCATGATCGACTAGCAAATCCAGAATGCTTGCACTCTTACCTACACTTACACACAAAAAAAACACTCTTAACGCAAGACTGCATGGCCTCCCTCTGCTTTTCTTGCTCGGGGGAAAGGAATTACTGTGGATATTTATAGGCAAACTGAAAATGGGTTGTCCTCTCTTTCACCGTCAGGGGTTTCTGTCTGTATTATATTCCATCGGCACAGTTCTTTAGCCGTCCTGAAAGCTCCTCCATCAGAAGAGATGTCTCGGTGCATTAAATGCAACGTCTCACTCTCAAAAGTGGGTGGTCGATACGGTTTTATTTCATATCGAATATCAGACCACGTGGGCGCAGATGATGAGTTATTTGCTGCGCAGATAAACGTTTGCTGGAATCAGACGTGAGGATTTAAAAATGGTTGAGATTTAAGCTTTTTAAGTCAATATGCTTTTATTCGCTGTAAGATTTGGTCCTTAGGGTTAACAGTCCGATCTCTCCCAACTCTCCCACGAGCTATGCCTCATCCTGGCTGTGTTGTTAGTTGTCTATCTCTAGTTTATTTCTGCTCTTGCTTATGGTTTTCCCTCAAGTGTCAAAGCATTGTAGCTTGGATTGAGCCAAATCTAAAAAAGTCAGTAGCTGTAGAGCAATATCGGCACCTAATTCTTAATGGGATTTTTCTCTTGTCCAGGCTGTTAACTGCCGAGACTTGATCATTGACTCTTAAGAACTGAATCAGTCCAAATCATGAGCTAATAAGAATGGGTTTGTTAACTGGATCTACTTATTAATTGAAAAGATGAAGTGGTTTTAGTGTTCCTTCCCAAAACACACACGCACAAAAGACATTTATTTTCCATTTTAAGTAGAGTGGCTCTGAACTAAATCAGTCTGAATCATGAGCGAATCAGACTGGGTTTGGTAATTTAATCTACTGATTCATTGAAAAGATGGAGTGATTTGTTCAGCGTTCCTCCCCGCAACACAAAATCGACTTTTATTTTCTAATTTAGGTTGAGTTTTTCTGAATGTGGCATTGTGTGTAAATTCATACTGTTGTGGCCTCAGCTGCGAAATAGGAGCCTGGAATATTGAGCATACTGAGTGTTTTTTTTGGCATTTCTCTGGGGAAAATAACAACCCTTTTCCCTTGCTTATGAAAAATGTAAATTATGTTCTATTTCTAGTATATCAACATGTGGCAGTGAGCGCATTTTGTATGTGTAGTCACATGCCTGGAACACCAAGAGATCGAAACAATGAGACGTGTCATCTCCCAATCCTGACACATTAGCATGGCTGTGTGGGAAAAGGAAGGATATTAGGTTTTAAGAGAATGGTAAAATTGGAAAGAGAGGTGAGGGGGTGGAAGACAGGAAGCTTCAAACCTCATTTTGGAAGGAAGTCATATGAGACTCTGAGGAAGTGATTAAATGTTGTGCCTGTTTGGGACAGAAGGCTATTTTTCATTTGTGATATTGACTTTTCTCTCTGTCTTTCTCTTTTCCCCTATTCTGTCTGACTCTATAGGAGAAGAACAAGGACAAAGACAAGCGTTTCCGTCCACTCTATGACATTCCTTACATGTTTGAGGCACGGGAATTCTTGAGAAAGAAGCTCATTGGCAAGAAGGTGAGATAGTTTGTGACATTCTCACACAAACAGACTTAGTCTTTCTGTATAAAGAAGTTTTCTTTCCATATGTTTTTCTGTCCATGGATGCAGAGTTGTTTTCTTTCTGAGTTTCTGTATTCTGTTTGTAGTCACTGAACACATTGACCACACAGACCATGAGCTGAGCGACTTTATTCACAGAGGCACAATTTAAATTTTTTTTCTTTTAACTTTAGTTCTTTATTTTATGAGGAAAACAAAAAATGTCACAACACAAAGCTTCCACATGAGAAATGTTGAGATGTTTTTAACGCAAATATGTGTATATAGTAGAAGTCTTAAAGTATAATTTAAATACTTATTCCCAACAATATATTAGTTATTTATCATGTCCCAAAGTTAATGAAGAAAAAAAAGTAGTTTCCAGTTTACATTTTGATGAAAGTTCATGAAGAGAAATATTTTATATTATATTTGGATTAACAGTAAATATTCAATTAGTTAATTTTACAATACATAATGTATATATAATTTGAATATACATTTTAAATTAACGTTATGAATGAACATGAATAAACAATAAACGTTAGTATATTTATGGTTTAACATTTAACCCTAAACAATTAAAAAGTTGTTAGCTCATGAAGTCACTGGATTATGCACAGATGAATGACTCACAACAAGAGCATGAATGTGTATTTTGAAAATACTTGGGGTGATTTCAGGAGTAAATGTAAAACATGAAGTGTTTCCATCTGTGTCACTCATATCAAACAGAAATAATTGGCATCAGAATTTGTTGCCATTTTAATTGGGACAGCAGGGTATAAACTGGTGTGGGATGTTCTGAAAATTCTGTCATATTGGGACTTATTAAAGCATAATGGGCAGATTGTATAGCTGCGCTTTATTGTCTGTTCAAGACTTTTCTCACCCAAACAATTCACTGTTTATGTGCAGAATAATGAAAAGCCCAGCCTGCAAGGCCCATTTGATTTAACACCAAAGAAATATGACAGCACATTTCCTCACACACAGATGTTTTCTCATAAATGATCACCGGATGCATGGATTACTAATGCAGCTTTATATCATCCTTGTATGAACGTAAGGCTGCTTTAGAAACCAATATTTTATTGCTGCTTCTTTTTACATAAGTCTGGTTCACTGACCTGGAATCATGTGAATATTTTTAACTGGAGACGGGAAATGGAAAGCAACGAGTTTAATCTCAGATTAGATTTTGCATTTCCCATGTATGCACTCAGCAGTAGTCAACAGAGAGTTGGATTTATACAACGCTCTGCGTGATAAGATGCCTGTTTGCATATTAATGCAAACAGTGTGAGAATGTTTGAATTCATTCAGAATGTATCCAGCGCAAGACTGCGGCAATCATCTTGAGGATCCAATTTTGGCTCATTAAGTGTCACAGAAGTGCTCTGACATAAATTAGTAGTGTATAGTATTAATCATCAATCTTCAGAGTCAAAAGTAGCATCTTAATATTTCTGTGAAGGAAATGTTCTTTTTGTAGCCAGATATTCCATATTGAGGTGGACCAAATGCAAAAGTTAAAGCAGTGGTCTTTGAAACACACTGCAATTGTGAATGCTGGCTTAACACAGTAGTTACATAAATTAATTTTAATTAAATTTTTAAATGCACCAATTGACAGTCTCTTGTCAGATTTCTTTAGCTGTTGCTTAGACACAATATGGTGTGAGTATGAGGCCTTGTACTGAGGCACGGCATGTTTTTGCATCTCTCCCTCTGCCCTGGCAACTGCTGTGGAAAATTAAAAATGTTCCAACTGTTTAAAAGACAAATACAATCTGGGCAATTATAGAAGTTCATAACTATAAAATAGAGACATCATTAAAGACCGATTGTTTTGTTGCTGAAAAAGTACAAATCTAATGACTAATTTCTGCCAGAAAAGGGCAGAAGGGACTATTTTATGCCCAGAACCTTTTGATTTTGCATTTAAGATGCCATTCGTTCTTTACAGGCTGCATCCCAGCTGGTCACAAAGGGTAAGTAGTACCTGACTTTTGTTTCCAGAGTATTAGTGGAAGAGCTTGAGCTGATTCTGGTGGATTCGATGAGGTTGAATCCATCTTCTGTCGCTCTAACATGACTGTAGTCTTCAAAAAGAGGTCCCAGAAGAGGTCGAAGGTCAACTCCCATTATATCTCTGCGAGTATGTGATCAATATCAGAGTTCAATGGCACGATCAGCAAGAGAAGATCAAAGGAAAGGAGGTAGAGAAGCTGAAGCTGCAGATCATGTTTCTTCTTTTGAAAGGCTGGAGAGAATGAGTGGCATTCACTAGCAGTGGCTAATGGAGGGAAATCTGTGGAGAAGTGCATTTCCTCCTCTCGGTATTGAAACAGAACTTCCCGGTGACATAATCCAAAGCTAGATTTGGCTAAATTTCTAAGTAGCGCCTCTGTAGAGGGTCTCTGCCTCAGCAAAAAAGTCAAATGAAAATGTTGCATTAATCCACTTATCAGGAAAGAGCACGTTTGGATAATCCTGCCCGCTCAAAGTGCCTCCTGTTATGTGGGTGTGAGCGTTTGTGTGTGTGTATGTGAGGTGTTAACAAGAGACAGTGACTGAGTGGAATGTCAGTGTCAAGCGTTTGATGTCTGTGTTTATGCAGGTATGTTCCAAGCAGGTATGTGCTGCTTTGCTTATTAGTTTGTTCATTTATATGGGAGAGGACGAGACCTGTGCGCGCAAAGTGCCTCCTGTGTTGTGGGTGTGTGCGTGCGTGTGTGTGTGTGTGTGTGTGTGTGTGTGTGTGTGTGTGTGTGTGTGTGTGTGAGGTGTTAACGAGACAGTGACTGAGTGGAATGTCAGTGTCAAGCATTTGATGTCTGTGTTTATGCAGGTATGTGCTGCTTTGTTTATTAGTTTGCTGGTTTATATGGAAGAGGACGTGCTGAGTTTTCATATGTTGCCCTGATGATGTACATTGAGGCTGCCGCGGCAGAGCTGTGCAGACTTCATTCATCTTTTCCCTCTACTTATGCTTTAGAGGGAATTACAGTGGCGTGTGAGACTAGCAGCTCACTTTTAAGCCATGAAATATGTATTACAGAGTTTCCTGACTACACCTACCCTCACCACATTAGACTCCACTCACAGGGACTTAAGCTTGCAGAGAGCAGGTTTGGCTGTGCACATATCAGAGATGCACATATGTATGCTTGGGATGTTTGCACACTATAGACCTTTTGGTGTGGACCAGTGCCCATTTGTGATCCAAGTTTGTAATTGACCCTGCCCCCACATAATAATAGTAGTAGTAATAATAATAAACAGTTGTATTGTTAGTGATACTTGCATTGATAATTTGATAACAATAACTCCAATATAACAACAACAATAATAATAAACTGTAGTTAATAAAATGAATAAAAACATGATATTATGATGCTAATACAATAAATCATAACAGTAATAAAAACAATAACAATATGACAGTTATAAAAATACTAGATGATTATAATATTTATCGTATTATCACTTTATTATTATTATGATTATTACTATTATCGCTTTATTATTATTATTATTATTATTATTATTATTAAGAACCGACTCAAAGTCATTTTATCCACAATTTGTTGGCATTGATTGCAGAGTTTTTATTTTATTTTTTTATGTTTAATAAAACCACTTCTGAATATTCATGGTTGTATGAATGTGTATTTGTGCCTTTGTGTGCTCCCAGTCACGCACATTTTTATACCTGCTTGTCTCCAGATAATTTGCATTTGGAGTGCAGTTCACATTGCATTTCATGCAATACATCTGAGACAGACAAACGCACATGCTTTTGTGTGTACATTTTGGTTATAAATCCATACTGTCGAAAACATGAACAGTGAGTTTTCTCTTCCTGACTCATTATCGAATTACTCTCGGTGGTTATCGCGTTGATGATTCATTCATGCCACTGTTTGAACCCAGATGTACAATGTGAAAAGAGTCCAGCGGGGGAGGCAGTGGAATCCATCTCTGGTTTGGACAAAGCAGTCAAACCAAGTGTGAAAGCATCCTTGCTGTACATGCACCAGCTCAATCTTTCTGCATTTCCCCGAGACATTTCAGTGGACCTGTCTACGTTTTGACGGATGCTTCGCCATTAGCAGCATTTCTGTCTTCAGCATTCTCTTCTTACTGGTTCTGTCTGGGCTTCTCTGAAACCCTCCATTGCTGTTGCCCTTCAGTCAGATCTTTCAATTCAGACATGACTCTAAAAGCCCATTTAATCTGTCATCTGCTTCCCAAATGGGCCTCTTCTTTCTCTCGCTCATTCATTTTCTCTTTCTTCATAAGCACATTTGCTCTTTTGAACGAGCGGGAATCGTTGGCGCTTTGTTTCTTAAGAAGGGCATGTTGTCGTTCAACCAAGCTCGTTACTCCTGCCCAATGGTGCAGAGATGCCTGTGCCTTTCTAAGAGAGAACTGGAGAGTAGAAGAGGGGATGAAAATGCAATCATTTTGTGTTTTATTTGCTGATGAAACACTAAACTCCTGGGGTAAGAAAATTAGTGTCCACAGGATTCCCCCACCTAATGAACTTCCATTATGTCCATTAGACTGAGTTGCATTTTCATTTTGAGGCAAATTAATTGGAGGGATAAATGGAATTTACAACTTTACATACAACTTTAGGAATTAGTTCAAAGCATGGAACTTTCTTTTGCCATGTAAAAATTGTCTTATTTCAACATTTCATTTTGCTAGGCAGTTGCATGCTCTTTGTCCTGTTTTCATAAATCTACATTTGCATTATATCATATAGATCAGTACGGCAATACATTTGTCTAAATGTGAGCACCTTCCTTAAAGGGGTCCTATTATGCTCTTTTACAAAGTCTTGATTTTGTTTTGGGGGTGTACTAGAACATGCTATCATGCTTGGTGGTTCGAAAAACGTTTATTACATTATTAAAATACCTTTCTCCCTATCCTGGCACAAACGGCTCGATTAGTTCTGGCTTTGATGAAGGTCCGCCTTCCGAAAAACAAAATGTGATGTGATTGGTTAGCTGTCACAGTGGGTTGTGATTGGCGAACAGCTTAGACTGTGTTTCAGTACTGCCACGCCCCCTTGCTCTGTCTTTCAACAAAACCTTTTGGCGAATCCGGCACTTCTCAGTCGTGTTGTGGAAGCTGTCCTCAGTAAAATGTGCAGCACACAATAGCAAATTGGGGCAACCACTTTTTCCTGACATCACCCCCTTTCAGAAGTGAAAAAAAAAAAAGCATTTCAGGCGGTCGCACACCGGACGAGAAGCACAGAGTCGCGCCACGGCTTTAAAATCGAACACATTATTTTCTATGAATGTAGGCACACCGACGCCGCCGTTCAGCGTCTGTCCGCGGCGCCCAGCTACGTCGTGTTATATTTGTAAGAATTGTTCTATAACATTATAAATGTATTTACTGTCACTTTTGATCAATTTAATGTCATTCCTGAATAAAAGTATTACTTTTTCTTTCCATTTTTGCTGACTTTAAACTATTAGACTGTAATGTAACTCGTGCAATGGATTTCAAGTCATACGCTGATAATTGTGTGAGAACAAAATCTTCTCCTCTATTGATCCTTGTTCCACTGCTTCTGGATAGTCATTGAGTTAACTTTAAACAATAAATTAATAAAATCCACTCGTTAATCATTCCGATTTTGAATGATTTTAAAATTGGGTCTATTCTTTACACTAGGGATGCACCGATACCGATACTGGTCTCCTGTACTCGTACTCGTTAAAATGCCCCGATACCAAACGCCGATACCACACAGCATGTGATAAGCGAAAGAAACACAGACAACAGAACAACAGACAGCAGAAAGGAGTTAAAGATGTCTACTACGAAGTATATGTATGCAATGAATATAATGTTAAACATTCAGTATTAACGCCTGTATAGCTGATGTGCGCGAGCTGATAAACAAAGCATGCTGAGTGGATTGAGCGCGCAGATGCGCGAGCTTGTCGAGTGAATATATCTTTCTCACAGACATCACTGGAAAGTTTGTAGTTCGATCGGATATGTCAAAAACAAGTAAGTAAAACAATGCACTAAAGATGATGTACCATAGAGCAAAAAAATTAACAGTGAAAGTAACAAAAACTTGTAGAATACATTTTAATGGGCATAATTAAGTGTGAAAATAACCGAAGGATATACAGTGAAACCAAAAATGATTCAGAGACCAGATATCATTTTTGATGTTTTTTTTACAAAGTGGGTGCAGGACACTATAGTTCATTTATGTAAGTGAGGATAGCAAAATAAAGTAAACTGTGACAAATCATACCCAAAAATTCTTCATACAGTGGACTACCAGTAAAATTGATACAAATTTGGGACCAAAAATTATTCAGACCGAGTCTGGGAAAAAAAGTTCAGGTTTGCATGAACCTGGTTGACAGCATGCCCAGGAGACTACAGGCTGTCATTAAGGCTAAGGGCTGCCCGACAAAGTATTCATAGTTGTGTAAATACTATCATACTGTCAAGTTGTCTGAATTATTTTTGGTTGATTGTAATATATTACATACCTTTCTATCAAAATGATCTAACATTTATCAAGCTGAATTTGTTCTGACAGTTTAACTCTTGAGTTCTTGTCATATTGTATTACCATTTTCTAAACTGTAGTGAATAAACTGTGATAATGTGAGAAATGTTGAAGGTGTTTGAATTTTGGTTTGACTATCTATTTGATAAATGAAGTTAACCAACTAACATTATACATACCCTTTTGGTTTCTGTACCCAATATTTAAAAAATTTACAAACGCAATAAAAATATCGGTATCGGTACTCGATATCGGCAAATACCAAAAATAAAAGTATTAGTATCGGGCGAGTACTGGAAAAAGTGGTATTGGTGCATCCCTACTTTACACAGTAGCAGTTGCTCTTCAAATGTAAGTTGTCTCAGTTGACAACCAACAGCAAAAGACACTTGTTACTGAGAAAGAAATGGAACCATAAATAAAATCTGAATGTTTCTAGATTCTCTCTAACAATCTTCTCACTCTCAGAATTGGGACTGCCGTATGCTTTATTACCCTTTATGACTCCTCTGTGAATTCAAATGATTCTTGTTCACCCTTGTGATGTGGATTTGTGATCTAGCACACTGTCCCTTGTTAGGGTAAGTGAGGCCAGGCACATGAGTCTGGGGTGGTATTGCGCCTTAGGCTGTGATTACCCAACCATGCCCCAGTGCTTGGCGTTAGAGCGTTGTGGGTAACAGGTGGTCACATCGCCTGAGGGCTCAGCTGCTTTGCCGCATCTTGACTCTTCGCTGATTCGGAATCAGTTCTTTCCAGGATTTCCCATAGTGCCATAAATATTTTAAGAGCCTGAACTGATCGTAGATCCGTAAAAATTCATGGCAGCACAGACAGTCTGTCAGGCTGATGCAATAGGTTACTTTTCAGTAAACATTTGATTTTTGGAAGCATGGTGAAGTAGGACTGACGTAGGAAGTATAGTTATCAACGCTTGCAATTTCTGTGTATTGTTTTGTCAGTGTACAGGTTTTTTGGTTTGATTGCTTAACCTCAACAGTTCCACGCCTTTTCATATTGTATTGTGTGCCTCTGAGCTGTGGTATGTTTGTGTATTTAAAGAGAGGATCACATTGAGTACTTGCAGAAACTGTTTACCACTCTTCCTACGAAACCAGCATTGACACCAAAAATAAAAAGCGCTCTTTGCTTTTAATCATGTTTTTGCCCTTTTGGTTTTATTACCAAAACTTGACACAGAATGCCTCTTGCTCTTGTTTGCTGTGCTCTGCAATAGGGGAATGCAAGCTGCTTGCTGAAGGCAATATCTGTGTTGAAAAATGGCAATGAGAAATGCGTTTGCCACTTTGCTTGCAGGGCACCAGTCTTGCTGCTTGTGATCAATTGTTTCAGTTCTGCAAATTAGGCCTTAGTCAATCTCACTCAACGCTCTCCTTCAAACACCGTGCAAACTGAAGTCTATAGACTATCCCGAAATAGTTGCATAAATTGATTTAAAATAATCGCACAGATTTCTATAATCAATCAGACCTAACATGATTATTTGTAAGCATATATTTTCACATGGAATCTCCAAATTTAATGTGGAAATAGCAAAGACAGGATTTTAAACATTTGTTTAATAGCTCCTTTTCCCTAACACCGTAAAGAAAGCCAGTATTATCGATACCAGGTCCAATACTGATATGGATGGCTATATTTAATGGATGATAATTCTGTTAATTTTTTAATGCATTAAACAGCAAATAATAATTGCATAAATAAACACATTATTTAACTCGGCACCATGTACAGTCATGGCCAAAAATATCAGCACCCTTGGTAAATATGTTCAAAGAAGGCTGTGGAAATTAATCTGCATTGTTAATCCTTTTGATATTTTATTAAAAAAATTCACAAAAATCTAACCTTTCATTGGAAAATAAGAATTTAAAATGGGGGGGGAAATTTCATTATGAAATGTTTTTCGCTAATACACATTGGCCACAATTAACAGCACCCTTTTATTCAATACTTTTTGAAATCTTCATTTGCCAGTTTAACAGCTCTAAATTTTCTCCTATAATGCCTGATGAGGTTAGAGAACACCTGACAAGACATCAGAGACCATTCCTTCATCCAAAATCACTCCAGACCCTTTAGATTCCCAGCTCCGTGATGGTGCTTCTCCTCTTCAGTTCACCCCACTCATTTTCTATAGGTTTCAGGTCAGAGGACTGGAATGGCCATAGCAAAAGCTTGGTTTTGTGCTCAGTGACCCATTTTTGTGTTTTTGAGGTTTGTGTTTGGATTATTGTACGGTTGGAAGATCCAAACATGGTCCATTATAAGATTTCTAACAGAGTCAGTCACTTATTGATTTTCTATCAGTTGGTATTTGATAGAATCCATGATGCCATGTGTCTAAACAAGATGTCCAGGACCTCCAGCAGAAATCTAGGCTCACAACACCAAAAATACAGCAGTATATTTCATTGTACACATGGGGTACTTTTTATCCCTGTGTTTACCAAACCCATCTTGAGTGTTTGCTGCTTAAAAGCTAATTTTTTTTTGTTTCATCTGACTATAGAAGCCAGTCCCATTTGAAGTTCCAGTCGTGTCTGGTAACTGAATATGCTGGAGTTTGTTTTTGGATGAACTAGGAGAATTTTTTTTTTAAACTTTCCCAAACAACATGTGGTGATGTAGGTGCTGTTTGACAATTTTTAAAAAGGTTTTCTGACCCCGAGACTCAACTATTTTCTGCAATTCTTCAGCTGTGGTCCTTGGAGAGTCTTTAGCCACTCAACCTCTCCTTCTCACCGTGCATTAGGACAATATAGACACACGTCCTCTTCCAGGCAGTTTCGTAACATTTTCTGTTGATTGCAAATTATATTTGAATTACTTAATTATTGCCCTGATGGTGGAAATGGGAATTTTCACTGCTCTAGCTCTTTTCTTAAAGCCACTTCACTAATTTGTGAAGCTCGATTATCTTTTGCTGCACATCAGAAATATATTCTTTAGTTTTTCCATTGTGATGGATGATTAAGGGAATTTGGGCTTTGTTTTCCCTCCTATTTATATTTGTGAAACAGGAAGCAATAGCTGGATAATTTCATGTTCATAATCACCCTGGAGTGCTCAAAATTGTGAATATTAATGGGAATATACTTCAGAGATATTTTACTCATAAGAATTTCTAGGGGTGCCAATAATTGTGTCCAACGTGGATTTGAGAAAAGCATTTATTTCATAATGATATTTCCCCCCATTTTAAATTCTTATTATCCAATGAAAGGTTAGATTTTTGTGAATTTTTTAAATAAAAGATCAAAAGGATTAACAATGCAGATTAATTTTCACAGCCTTCTTTGATTATATTTACCAAGGTTGCCGATATTTTTGGCCATGACTGTATGTGTGTGTGTGTGTGTGTTTAAATAAAACGATAGTGTGTTTTATATATCTAAATTGTGTAAAGTGTTGCAAGGCACCTTGGAACAAACATCTGATTCTCTGTTGTAATCTCTTTGTAGAAACATTGCTGAGGCTCTGGTCAGTAAAGGTCTCGCAACAGTGATCAGATACCGTCAGGACGACGATCAAAGATCTTCTCATTACGACGAGCTCTTGGCAGCAGAGGCAAGGTGAGTCAAAACACTAAAATAAAACTGCCGGCTAGCGAATGTGGGCCATATTTCCACACATTGAGTAGGAGAAGCCGTCTGTGAAATGGAGCCATTTTGTTCTGTGCAGTAAGTCATGGCTTGTCTGGTTAGCTCTCATTTCATGGGGGCAATATCAGTCCCAGAGCTTATACCTCAAGCACCAGCATTAAAGCATTGCTCTTTTATTCTTTGTCTACGAATATAATTATATAGATTTGCGGTGCAGAGGTTTCAAAGGTGGTTTATTGCACAGAAAGAGATTCGGATCTCGTGGTCGGCGATAGATGGGGCGACTCTCGAGAGAAAGAGACTTGCTGCTGCTTATCTACTGCTCTTTCTTTTCCATTTCTATTCTTCACTCTTGGTGTTGCTCTCGAAAGCGCACATGCATTCACACACCTCCTATATTTTCTTGTCCTTCGCTCTCTGGGTAATGCTTCCCCGTGGAGCCTGCGGACATGGGAGGTTTGCGGGCCTCAAATTTATTTTTAGCAGAGATTGCTGGTCGTTACCCTACATCCTCTGAGAAATCAACCTCAGGACGAGCTCTCTCTCCCTTTCTCTGTTTTTTTACCGAATTTGATTGGACACCAGGGAGGCTACAGCCACAGATACATCTGCCTTAAAGAGGCCAAAGACACATTCCTCATTCCTCCTGTATCTACTGTAATGTGCAGGCATCACCACTCAGCAACCACTATTACACTGATCGAGCAGTCGACACACACAAAAGACACCGTATACATTCCCATGTGTAATGCATGAGAGCTGCTGGCCTATAAATGTGATTTGTTGGCTATTTTGTGGCATGGGATGAATGAATGGGTGGGTTTGTTTAAGGGTTGGTTTCTCAGGCTGGGGCAGAAATGGTTTTATGTTCTGGGGGCCCATTCTAAATATTTCGATTTTAACACAGTGCTTGAATCATTGCAGGGCAATCAAGAATGGTAAAGGACTTCACAGCAAGAAAGAAGTGCCCATTCACAGGGTGGCAGACATTTCAGGGGTAAGCTTTTGATTTTATTTGCTTCAGTTGCTATTTGAGTCTGATTCATAGGGATGTATTTCTATGGGATGAAATTAGACTCAAAATGATTAATAGATGCACACACAATTATCCATGTACTGCATACATTTTATACATGTATCTTACTAACCACAAACAAATGCCTTTCAATTTGAGTCTGTGGAATTCAGGATTAAATGATTGTGCAGCGATTTTTACAAATACAGACATGTTTGCGAATAAAAATGTTCTGTTCTGCTTTAATATATAATAACTTGCTCGTGCCAAAAGGAATCCACGCATAAGTGTATCAGGTGACACGCGTGCATTAATTGACGTCTAGTTCGAGTCGATAATACCTTCCTTTTTGCATGAGAAATTTATGATATATTAATTCAGAACAGAACATTTTTATTCGCAAACATGTCTGTATTTGTAAAAATTGCTGCACAATCATTTAATCCTGAATTTCCACAGATTCAAATGGAAAGGCATTTGTTTGTGGTTAGTAATATACATGTATAAAATGTATGCAGTACATGGATAGCTGTGCGTGCATCTATTAATCATTTTGAGTCTAATATCATCCCATATATTTCAGTCATTACGTCTATTTTGTTTGCTTAGGAAAGATATTCTCTCTGCTAAAGCTGTACATTATACATGGTGGGTTTTTTAGACTAATTTGATTTTCTTTAGTTTAAATATTTGGCTGCTTTTGTTTTCAGCTGCGAATAAGAGTGCATTTAATAAAGTTCCATTTAATAAATTTGACTTCAAAATCAAGAATCAAACTCAAATATCAGTGTGAAAATGCAAAAAAGAATTTGTCTGGGCTGGAGCATGACCTTTGACAGTATGTTCTACCAATGTCTTCTATATCCCAGATTCCTCACTCAAATCTTTGATGTTAAAGCTTCGTCACATGACAGCTGATTTAATGCTGCATTATGGCCCTGACCGTTAAATTAATGAATGCCTCTCTAAAAATAGTCTTTCTACCCATAAAGTCATCATGCTCGTAGCTCTAAAGTTGTTTTTAGGCAAATCTGTTTGGGTGCCTTACCAAATGAAGATTCAATTTTACTTGGCTTGTAAATGTCATTTGCTGGGTGACAGGCTTGTTTACTTGGTGTGTGTGAAGCAACTGACGTTTAATAGCCGCTGACTTCCTGTTCACCTCTCCTCAACTCTCTCCTTCCTCTCAGTCTCATCTCTGTGTTTATGAATGAGCTCCTCAGGTTTTAATGAAGTATTTGGCAGCTGTCTGCGAACTTTTTCAGGATGTTATTTATACCCGAGTTTGTGTGGGAGGCATTTAGAGTGAGAGAAAAAGTGTGTCACTCTCAAACGGTAACATTCTCATTTCTCATCCAGAAACAAGATTCCCTCGTTATATGACTGACAGTCAGAGTAATGTCATTTGGATTGGGACTATGTCGTTGGTCTGAAAGGACCATTTATCTTTGGATTTGTTTGTTTTCTTTTCTCTTACTTTTCTCGTTTGGTGTCTTTTTCTTCGTGTGGGTCATGGCTGTATTTCCAGCTGCGGTGGGCGGCCCTGGTGTGCTGAGTCACAGGAAGCAGAAATATTTAAAGTGAAATCTGAAGTGTCTCTGTTACACACCTGTCAAACAGAAAGATGGCCAATCTCACTTCTAAAAGTACACCCTTGGTCAGGGCACACTTGAAGTAGAGCTGCCCTACTCCCATAATGGCTCACAGTGTCAAACTGTTATCTTCCACTTGGCCTGTTGTTTTCTAGTCCACATTTGAATTTCAAATCAAAAGTATGTAAACTAATGTAAGTAAACCAGCCAAGGTAGCCAGTGAAGGCGCATGTGCAAAATGTTGTTAAAAAATTTGATGCAATCAAGAAATAAAATAAGGATGCTGTTTTAGTGCAATTATATTAATATGTTGCATTAATGAATGCATTTTTATTGCATAACTATTTTTGTATTGCAAAAATTATGCATTTAATCATACTATCAATACATATTTAAATTTTATAAAAATATTCTTTAAAATGACCCAGACATGTAGTGATTGTCATGACAACTGCAACGTTTAATGTGGCATTTTGTTTGTACAAAATCAAGTAACATCTATCTAAGCAAGTATAATAGCTAAGTCTATAAAAGAAAGTAAATAAAAACACATGCATTTAATTTTATTTTTTATAACAAGCATAAAAATTAATAAGTATAAAATAAATGCATAGAACAAGTAAAAAATCCAAAGAACAATTAAAGACGAAAAAATTATAACCAAAAAAAGACGTAAATATAAAAATAAATTTTTATAACAAATAAATACCAAGTTCTGTCATGAAACTCTAAATGGCACAGGGTGATGGGTCGTTAACGCATATTCACAGCGTTAAACTACTTGGCACAAGCTGACTGCTTTACATTCAGATGGCTGGTTGGCATTCACTAGAGCGTTTCGCAGCGTGCTTTCAGAGTTCCTCTGAAATCCTCCACCTGTATAAATCTGCTACATATTTTTATATATGCTATTTTTACAGTGGCAGTATGTCTTAAAAACTCAGCACCGTATCGGTGTATCTATTGGCAGTAGCAAGTTCCTGTACTTGCTTTGCAGCAGCAGCGTAGCAGATCTAGTATTCCGCCAAGACTAAATACATTAACATTGTCATATCCTTTATAGTGGTCGATTGATATTGTTTTTTTGACAGCCGATGCCGATATCTTGGAAAGCAGGGTGGCCGATATAAAGCCAACATAATTGTAGTTATTTTAGTTAACATTTGTGACCCTGGACCACAAAACCAGTCTTAAAGGGATAGTTCACCCAAAAATTAAAATTTGATGTTTATCTGCTTTTAATTTTTGGGTGAACTATCCCTTTAAGTCGCTGGGGTATATTTGTAGCAATAGCCAAAAATACATTGTATGGGTCAAAAGTATTGAGTTTTATTTTATGCCAAAAATCATTAGGATATTAAGTAAAGTTCATGCTCCATGAAGATATTTTGTAAATTTCCTACTGTAAATATATTAAAACATAATTTTTGATTAGTAATATGCATTGCTAAGAACTTCATTTGGACAACTTTAAAGGCGATTTTCTCAGTATTTAGATTTTTTGCACCCTCAGATTCCAGATTTTCAAATAGTTGTATCTCGGCCAAATATTGTCCTATCCTAACAAACCATACATCAATGGAAAGCGTAATTATTCAGCTTTCAGATTATGTAGAAATCTCAATTTCGAAAAATTGACCCTTATGACTGGTTTTGTGGTCCAGGGTCACATTTAAGAAATGCGCATGTCCTAAAAGGTTGAAAACCCCTGCTTTAGATGGCGAAGTATTTTTCACAAATAAATAAATAAATATTTAATATAAATATATTTAAAAAGGAAGTAAACACTGTAACCAACAGAGCACTCAGTATTCTGGGAAGTTTGTGTGCATTCTGAATCTTATTTTTTCAAATAAAGCTAAGGCAACATTCATTTTACATACAGCACACAGTGAAAATAACATGAATATGGGCAAATGTATAAAGCACAGCATAATTTGAAATCACGGATTTATTGTTTAAAGCATTCAAATCGCACCGAAAGTCATGCAGAGAACACGCGATCATGCAGGATATACATGCACACTTCACAAGATCTCACAACTGGATTCAACCAGGTTTGCAAGTTTTGTGAAATTAAATGCCCATTAGCCATTTAAAGATTTGTTTAAATTATATAAATGCTTTTTTGTTGAATGCTGACGGCAAACAAGAGAGTATTATAATGTTTGCCTTTTTATTACTAATAATATAAAAGCAATCGTTATAATACTTTTTTGTATACATTTTAATCCCTTTGTTTAACAGTTCTATCTGATTATTAGAAATACTTCTATCCGTATTAGACAGAACTGTTAACGATGACTGCGAACAAGAGGGAGAATGTGAGCACTGTGTGCTCAGGGGCTGCCGTTATTAGCGCCGTCAAAATAAAAGTCCCGCCTCGACTTTCGGCCTAACAGAAAAACATATCGGCCAATGCCGATATTTGAAAAATGCTAAATATCGGCCGATATATCGGTCAACCACTAATCCATTACCATGCTAAATTCTTCAGAGAGTTGTCATGATAGAACTGCCCTAATTTTTGTTTTCATATATCGTTTAAACACCTTTGATGTTTTTATTGACTTATTTTTCTTCCTTCCTCTCTATTCTTGCACAGGAGACACAGAAGGCTAAACAGTTCTTGCCATTCCTGCAGAGAGCGGGCCGCTCGGAGGCTGTGGTGGAGTACGTGTTCAGTGGCTCCAGACTCAAGCTCTACATGCCCAAAGAAACATGTCTCATCACCTTCCTGCTCGCTGGTAAGTGTCAGTCGGCCTCGGCCTGTCAACTATGCCACCATCTGTGACCACATAACAACCACAATGTGGAAGCTGACCGCTGTTGCACCACCAGTCTAACACTCTCCATTTTGTTCAGTTCTCTAATATTTCAAGGAACAGTTCACCTAAAAAATGTAATTTGTTATACAACAAAGGAGAAGTTTAGCTGAATGTTCAAGCTGCTTTCATGCATACAATGAAAGTGGTTGGTGACCAGGGGCTGTGAAGCTCCAAAAAGCACCATAAAAGTGATTCAGAACACTCACTTTATTACTTTTAAAGCCATTGAATGACTGAAAAGCTGTTCACTGAAAATCTTGCCTAACAATCATAATCATCATTCACTTTCACAGTGAAAAAAGCTAAAATTCTGCTTTAATTAACTCACTTTGTGTTCCATGGATGAAAAAGCCATAGAGGTATTGAAAGACAAAATGGTGAGTAAATGATGACAGAATTTTCATTTTTGTCAGAACTATTCCTTTAATAATTCACGCACGCTTATTAAACACTTATCGGTGAGATACTTTTTGTGGAAGGGGTTTCTTTCTCCTCAAGATGCTCTGCTAGTGGAGTTTTGAGACTGAATAGCTTCTGTCCTTCCACTCTGACCTGCGGAGGCTGGTGTTTTCTGGGAGGTCTGGAAAGCTGATCTTTGTGCAGGCGTTTTGTCTATGCTTCTAACCTCCCGAAGGCAAGATGGGGATCTGAAGGGCTCAATCTAATGGAAGGTTAAGTGTCACATTTGCTGGCTGTGAGGTCTTGCTACTCAGCATCTGTTCTTCCCCTTGAGTTTCCTCACCCTCTCTGTGTGGAACATATATGTGGACATGCTTGTGTGAAAGTATCTGAGCAGGTACAGATACCACTGCTGCACATCAGGGAAGGTGGTGGAGCATCTGTAACCTTTGACCTTTAATCATTGCTCTGCACGTAGCCAATTGCCATTCTCGCTAGCACATTTGTGGGTGTGTTGCCAAATCTTTCACCCTTTGACATTTTTATATATATATTTGTGATTTAGGGTTTTCAGATACCAGTAACTGTTTACATTTTTTTAACATGTTCATTTTAGCATTCACACTACCATTCAAAATTTTGCACTTTGTTTTTGTGAGTAGTCAAGGCTGCATTTACTTGATCAGAAATACAGTAAAACTGTAATATAAAACATTATTACAAATAAAAATGGCTATTTTTAAATAAAATGTAATTTTTTCATGTGATAGCAAATTTTCAGCAGCCATTGCTCCATTTTTCAGTGTCACATGATCCTTTAGAAATCTTTCTAATATACTGGTTTCGTAACATTTATTCTCACTGTTGATACTTTTTTTCAGGATAATTGAGTAGAATATTCCAGAAACAGAATTTATTTGAATTCAAACTTTTTGTAACATTTTTTTGTAACATCTTTACTGCCACTTTTGTTCAATTTAATTTGTCTTTGCTGAATAAGTTTATAAATTTTATTTAAAAAAATAAAACATTTTTACTGATACCAAGAATGGTATGGTACTAATAAAGTTTTAAAACCAAAATTGTACCTTAACAGGAATGCACTATGAATGAGCATTGAATAATTGCATTTTTATTAACTAACATTAACAAAGTTTATAAAATATCCTTTAAAAAAGTGGAGTTGGTAGGAGAGCTTAGTAAGTATTAACATGTTAAATAACACCAAAAGCATTATAATTGACTAAATAAAAATATGGTAAAGTGGACACGCTTTATTTTAAGGTCCAATTCTTACCATTTGCCATTTTCTTGCATTTTGCCCATTTTCTTGCATTTTGCCCATTTTCTTGAGTTTTGTACAACATGGGAACTGTAAATGGCGTGCACAAGCATTCAAGCATCATTAGGCTACATAAAGAGACTCGCTTTCTTGTGGTTGCTCAATTTCTTCCCGACGGACATCAGTGCCCTTCCAACCCCGACCTCAGCCTCTCTCCGTATCACTCAGAACAAACCACTGACTGATTTGTGTTATTTCTGAGGAGTTTATTTCTGTCCTCTCACCATCCGGTCTAATTATTCACCCTGAAAACAGAGAAGAGACGCCCCTCTATTTCAGCATCCCTCCATCCCACGGAGAACAAACACCCTCCACCCTCACCGTGCTTAATTTTGCATATCGTCATTGGAGATATTTCAATTAATTTGGTCATTTGTTCCTGAGTGTCTTTTTGTATTTTCCTTCCTCCATTTGTTCCTTTTGTAATTATTATTTTTTTCTTCGGTTTCTTCCTATGAGAGATTTCGGACAGAAAGCCTTTCCTTATCACTCTACTTTTTCTTATTTTCTGAAATGGTTAATTTTTCAGATGCCTTTTTTCCTGTTTGCCTCATCTCTCTTTCTCGTTTATGTGTGATTTGATCATGTAGGCTGAGATGTTTCTTGAAGCAGTTTGTTTGAGGGTTAGGGTTGAAAATGAGCCCCATTTTTCACCGTCGTAGGTACTTTGGGATCTGGTCTCTTGGCACAGCTCTTTCTGATGTTTCTAGTCTTGTTTGAGTATTTGTAGAAGCCATTTTTCTGTCAGAAAAAGGAAAGGACTGACAGCACCAGGGGCTGTGAAATGTGCTACAGCACATATGAAAGAGCTTTAGCAGTTCAAGAGGTTATTGACTTTACGACATACAGGGCAGTGCACCATAAACTCACCAGTGTAGATTGTGTTTGATTACCTGCAGGCCTTTCTCTGCACTCTATTTTTATGATTTTATTGTTGCATGTTGAGGTCTCATATCTGTGTGGATCCAATGTGTCAAGGTTTGGCTAGTCAACTGCTAGTAGATGCCATAAGTGAGCATTCCTTTAACTTTTTGCTCTTTTGACCTTGTGGACCTTTAGAAATTAAAATCTCGTAAAGCTCTTTTTGCTTTTATTTTTTTTTTGCTTTTTTTGTCTGCTGACTAAATTCAGCTTAAAATGATTTAAAATAGAAGCCTGTAATTTTAAGTCTATTCCAATGATAGTGTCATTTCCACAACATCTCAAATACTCAAATAATGTGTTCAGTGGCATGCCTTTGGTTTAAATTGCATTTTATATGGAATATCCTACTACTAGTCAAATTTACAAATCCATTTTTGGGCAGAAGTTGGTGTGTGTGGTTTTTGTATATATAATATGTATATGTGTGTGTATATAATATGTGTATATACAGTGGGTACGGAAAGTATTCAGACCCCCTTAAATTTTTCACTCTTTGTTATATTGCAGCCATTTGCTAAAATCATTTAAGTTAATTTTTTTTTTCCTCAATGTACACACAGCACCCCATATTGACAGAAAAACACAGAATTGTTGACATTTTTGCAGATTTATTAAAAAAGAAAAACTGAAATATCACATGGTCCTAAGTATTCAGACCCTTTGCTCAGTATTTAGTAGAAGCACCCTTTTGATCTAATACAGCCATGAGTCTTTTTGGGAAAGAGGCAACAAGTTTTTCACACCTGGATTTGGGAATCCTCTGCCATTCCTCCTTGCAGAGCCTCTCCAGTTCTGGCAGGTTGGATGGTAAACGTTGGTGGACAGCAATTTTTAGG